TCAAGAGACTATACTTATTTTTCCCATGTTCATCAGACATACTCCCGTATAGACTGTTTTTTAGTTAGAACAAACTTCTGGAATTAGTTGTTGATTCTAGGATTGGCTCAATTATTGTGTCAGATCATGCCCCAGTATTTCTAACACTTAAATCTCCAAATTGTTTTAAAATTAGAAATAGTTGGAGACTAAATGAAAGCCTAATATTAATAGATAAGGTAACAGAACTGTACCACTTTATTAAAACTAATGATAATAGGGTGGTTTCTACATCCACAGTTTGGTGCACTTTAAAAAACCTTTGCCAGAGGGGTCCTAATAAAAGCAGGTTCAAGACAATAGAAAAATAAATCTATATATTAAATTGTCTAAATTAGAAAGAGTAAATAAGGCTCAAATAACCCAAGTTATTACAGACGAAATTTCATCTCTGAAAAGAGGCTATTAATAAAAAAAATCCTGGATGAGGTGAATAAATCTATTATATTCCTTAAACAAAAATGGTATCACAACAACAATAAAGTTAGTAAAGTGCTTATGAATTGAATGAAAAACACTTCTATGGATAAAGCTATTAAAAGCATAATAGTAGGGGATGATTGTTTTTTAAGACCAGGAGATATATCTCAGGCTTTCATAGATACATATAATGCTTTATATAATCTACCAGATTCTAAGGCTATAAATTTGGAAGTGGATGAATTTTTGAATAAAATGTCTATCCCGGTGATACTCCCAGTAAAAAGACGAACGTGGACCACCAAGCTGTTCCCCAATTACTCTGTGGTTAACCACAAAGTCTGGGTGGTTAATGGGCGCCACACGACCTCAGTAGGAGGTCGGGTGATTCGGCAGTTTATTCGTTTTATTGATATTTGCACGAAATCACTCCACACACTCCTAAATAACCGAACAGGCTGATTCGCATAGTCTGGTTAATAAGGGATTTCATTACACAATTAAAAAACCTAAATCCAATAAAGCTCCAGGACTGGATGGCTTTTCAGCAAAGTTTTAAAAAAATTGCAGACATCTTGGTCCCTATATTACTGAAAGTATTCAATGAAGCCTCTATTACAAATCCCTTTCCTAATGATAAGTTTCTAGCCTCTATTATTCCGATTCTCAAACCAGGAAAAGTCTCAACAAACACATTAAATTATAGACCAATTTCTTTAATAAACCTAGATATTAAAATTTATTCTCACATCTTAGCTAATAGAATGAAACTGATTATTTCTGATTTAATATCAGTTGATCAGTCTTGCTTCATCAAAGATAGAGGTACAATGGATAACATATGTAGAATACTTAATTTGAAAATAATCTTATGAACTCAGAAATGGCTATATTAGACCTTGATGCTGAAAAAGCTTTCAATAGAGCGAACTGGAGATTCTTAGAAAGAGTATTAAATAAATTTGGTTTTTTAAAGATAAAATCATGTCATTATTGTAACAGCACTCCCAGGCATAAAAGGGCTAAACCGCCGTTTAGTAGATCTTCCCTTACCAAACTCCCGAACTGAATACAAGGGAAAGCTCCAAAGTCCCGAAATGCATACAAAGTAGCACTCCAAACTCCCGAACTGGAACCTCACGAATAGCTGCTAGCAGACGAACAGGAAAAGCACCCAAGCAGCTTACACTCCTGGCAATCAGTCTCTAACAGCATACAGTAAATCCCCCCAAAGACGAGACAGAGCTCCGTGTTGAGGGTCAAGCAGTGGTCTGGTTTATTGAGGGCTACTTGCCCAGTATTTATGCAGGTCTCCCACCTGTTGGACACTCCCCTAGGGGGAGACTGTAACACAGACAGACATGTATCACATTCAGACACACAGAAGTAAAACATCCCCACAATGCATCCTAATTTCCCTCCCTCTATCCTGGAGATAATAGGGAGATAATAGGGAAGTAATCAACTTATCTCCCAGGACAGAGGCAAAACTCCATTATACACGTGGGGACACAAAGACAGTAAAATACTTTAAAATATACAAAGTTACATTTAATACATAAAATACAGACATGTCACATATCCCCAGATAGCTAGGATCTGAGCGCACATAACTACTGAATAGCGCTCAGATCCTATTCACACAGTTCAATTGCCATGGAGCCAAAGTCTTTAATTGCACGAATAGGCTCCATGGCATAGCTATCTGGGTTAAAACATTCACTGAAGTAAAGTCCCGATCAATTCAGCGTTCGGATAAATAGCCACTAATAGAAGCAGGGAAGGCTGGAGCCTCAACGGTGCCTGCACGTAAAAGTGTCCGCGTTTAGTGCACTGATTCCGGGCTGAGCACCGCTGGTCGTCCGGGGAGCTACAAAACACCGCCACCTAGCGGCCACTAAGTGTAACCGCGGCCACCCAGTAACAGTCAATTAAGCTGCAGTTAACCGCAGCTACTGGGTGGTCAATTGACGGCACACGCTAGCTTCAGGGAGGTGAAGCCCGGTGGTCGCGCCTTTGGTATTTTGTTCGGTAGATAAAATCTACCGAACGCCCTGGCAGAAAGGCATTAATAAGCCTTTCTGCAGGAAAAATAAAGTGTTTTAAAAGGCCGGTCCAGGCAACCAGGCTCCTCCAATGCAATGTGGCGAGCTTGCTCTCGTCACAATTATATACTGACCCATCTGTGAAAATGATAAATTGATTCTTTGACTCAGTGCTGTCCATTGGCTCCATTACTATATGTCCTATCTATTGAGCCATTGGCTATTCTCATTAGGGAAAATAAAAATATATATGGGATCAAAACAATCGGCCGAGACTATAAAAACTCCCTTTTTGCTGATGATGTGCTTCTGTCCCTGATGAAGCTCCTAACTGCTATTCCAGAGGCCCTTAAAGTAATTGAAATATTTGGAAAAAGTTTGAACTATAAAATAAATTTAAAGAAAACTTAAATCTTGGTTTCAAACCTATCTGAGGATATTGCAAAGGTACACCATACATGTCTAATTGCGAATGTAATGCTATGAAATAGATGAAATGTTCAAAAAAACGCCTGGTTACAGACAGAGCAAGAAAACTATCCACATGTCAATTTAAATACTGTACTCTGGTCAGTTACCTTAGATGTAATGACACAAAGAAATGCTTTAAACCCACTGATTATGTATATGCTAGAAGTTTTAAAAATGCTGAAAACTAAACTTAACCTTTCAGATTCCATTCGTATACAAGCCCCAATAGAAACTCTGCACTATGACATGATCAATATGGACCTATACAACTGGAGGTTACAAGGGATAAATAAATTGGCAGATCTCTTTGATAATAAATAATTGATTAGCTTTCCGGGTCTACAAGATAAATACAATATACCCTGTAGTGAAACTTTTCGTTACCTAAGGATTAAACACTTTCTAAATTCAAAACAGGTTATATTCGAACACCCTATTTTTGATTATTTAAGTAGAGTAGATACAAAGGGCTTAATAACCTAAACTTCTAAGCTTATATTAGTGGGGGATGAAGCAGACACAATTCCATCAATAGTGAAATGGGAAAAGGATCTTACCATAAACCACACCCCATATGAATGGTATCATACTACTGTTCAATTTAAAAAAATCATCCATTGTTTATCTTTGTTAAAACTTCATTTAAAGATTTTGTATAGATGGTACTTGGTTTCTTATAAATTACATAAAATGTATGAAGCTTATTCACCTATATGCTGGAGATACCAGAAAGAGATTGGTACAAAATTCCATATTTGGTTTCTTTGTGAGATATTAAATGATTCTAAGATATGTTTATCTTCCCTGATTTTAGACTTAACCCAAGAGATAATAATACTCACACCATCACTATTTCTATTTAACTTAGATTTTCCATTAATGGAAAAAAAAATTAAATATTTAATTACACATATTATTTATGCTCTGAAGACTTCTATAGCTCGCCACTGGAAATCGACTCATCCTCCACTTTGGCAAGAAATTCTAAACCAAATAGAGTATCAATATACAATGGAATGTAACTTTATTACTACATCGGGTAAATCTGTTTCATATCATGATTTATGGCTCCTCTGGATAACATACAGGAAAAATAAAAATGTATCCTAAATTAAGGATGGTTTAGTGGATAAGATAATTATCCCCCTGATTTTCTAATACAACAAGAGCTCCATTGGATATACTGAAATCATTGCACCTGATATTGGGTCCCAAGGATTGTAGTCCTCAATATGTATGTCCTTATTCATATTGTATATTGTATTATTTATTTGGAAGAAGTTCATTGCCTTAAACTCGCCATATTTCTGTACTAGACCTATATGAATCTACAATCCTGAATTGTAATGAAATTTTGGATTTATTTGTATTTGTTTTTTTCTATTATAGGCAATGTTGATAAAAAAAAAAAATAATAATAAATATAAAAAGAGAGGTCATTTACCTGTAGTGGAACTAGTTTGTGTAGTTGAAGCTGAAATTCAAAGAGACAAATATGTTAATAACGTAATTTAATATGCAACAGTAACAGGTAATTGTAGATACCTCTAATACTACAGACAAATTATAAAAATTAGAAATCTTTTAGCTAAATGATTCCATTAGGGTTAGGCTTACATATTTTTGACAAATGGGGACACCCTTTATAAAGCTTAAAAAGGGAGATCGGCCTGAAGTTGGGGCAGTGGATCGGTGGTTTACCCAGCTTTGGGAGTGATAACAATAGTTCTATAGGTAGGGTGCCTGCTTGGGTGGCTGAGTTAAATAGGGATGTCAAGGGTGGGAGGACCAACTTGTATTTTTCATAATATAGGTTTGTGAACCTTTTTTGAAGAAATGTCCAACAAATTACTCTGCAACTTCAATAGGTTGATATCAGCCCCCAAGAAGGATGTGCAGGATTTGGGAGACCTGAGTGCGCACATGGAACACTGCATGGGTGAATACGCAGGGCCCATTCGGGGGGGGAGGGAGGACCAACTTGTATTTTTTTATAATATAGGTTTGTGAACCCGTCCGGAATAAATGTCAGACAAATTACTCTGCAACTTCAATAGGTTGATATCAGACCTCCAGAAGGATGTGCTGGATTTGGGAAACCGGAGTGCGCACATGGAACACTGCATGGGTGAATATGAAGAAGCACACAACGACATGGTGGATCACATCCAGAATATTGAACAAGAACTTGAGTCCTGCCAAACCAAATTAATGGACCTCAAAGATCAGTCCAGAAGGCAAAATATTAGGCTGCGAGGCATCCCAGAAGCATTGAAACAACCTGACCTTATGGAATATCTAATGTGGTGATGATGTGCGCTAAGAATAGGTCTTTAGGTAGGGTGCCTACTTGGGTAGCCGAGTTAAATAGGGATTTCAAGGTAGAAACAAGGATCGACTTGAATTTTTTATAATATTGGTTTCTGAACCTGCCTGGCCAGAGGCCTTGTTGGATGTTAATGATTATATGACTGCTTTTATTTCAATGGTCATAATGGGGGTTTGGAGGGTGGTAATTTGGTTTGTGGTGAGGTTCGGTAATGCTATGTCATTGAGATAGTCAGTTATCTCTTGCTCGGTCCATTTGTGCATTTGGTCATGTTGTGCTAGGTTGTAGAGCTTTTCATAGCATGATGCAAAAGCGTTACTTATTTCTATTGGCGATATCACTTTTTCATTGTTAGGAATGATGATTTACGGGATTCTATAGTTCACCTCCATCTGCTTCAGCCTTGTTGCTAGTGTTTTGCTTGCTCTATTGTCTTGTGAGTAATGAGTGGCTTTCAATCTGCAGAGATTGTAGCCTACCTGTTATAAAGTGTGTGCTTTTAATTTGTCCAGAATGTCTCTTTGTAGGGTATCTCCTGGTTAGGCTTTGTTTTGTGAGATCTAATAATCGTTTGTGCCAGAGCATCCATTGAGCTTGATTTTTCTGCTTTTGTTGCGATGGTCTTCGTATTAGTAGGCCTCTAAAGACCGATTTGTGTGCCTACCAGGTTTTTCTAATAGAGGTGTCTGATGTTTTGTTAATTGAGAAGAATTCTCTCATTGCTACCGCAATGTCATCTGTAAAGGAGGGGTCATGTAAAAGGGATTCATTGAGTCTCCATGGACTCTTATGTTTGTAGTCATAATTATCCTTGACAGATAAAGTTATGGCAGTGTAATCAGACCAACTAATTGGACCTATGGAGCAGTCCATGATTTGGTCGAGGTGCTGTCCTTCCAAATCTATCTATTCTGGTGTATGTCTTGGGGGGAGATGAAAACTATGTGTAGTCATTCTCCTGTGGGTGGAGCAAGGGCCGCCATCAGGGCATGACAACCATGACGGTTGTCATGGTCCCGGCGGTCCTGGGGGGCCCTGACTGCTCAGGGCGTCCTGGGCCCCACATTAGCTATGTGCACATATATAGCTGGGGGGGGGGTGGCAGCACTTTGGGCGGACTCGAGTATAGGCACCAGGGGACCCAGACCTTGAGCTGTGTCAGGAGCCCCAAAATTTCTGATGGCAGCCCTGGGTGGAGCACTCTCTACACATCATAGAGGTGGTCGTTGTCTAGTAGCTTATTGTACGTGGCGCATGTTTTCTGTTGACGGGATTTCTTTTACCTAAAGGGGGTTGGGCAGTTGTGTCCCAGCGGTGGTCTAATATTTGATTGAAATCACATCAAAGAATGAGCATTCCCTCCCGGACTGGCAAGAGCTTAGTAAGTACTTTATGTAAGAAGTTCCACCATTTTGTGTTGGGGGCATACACGTTGGCAAAAGTGTATTTGATATTATTTATTGTGCAAACCAATATTAAAATCTACCGTCAGGGTCTAGATGGGAGGTATGATGCTGAAATGATACATTGTGGCTTATAAGGAGTTATACTCATTTGATACTGATATGGGTGGAAAGAAGGTTTAAAAGTAAGGGGTGTTTTGAAATGTGTTTCTTGGAGGCAGGGGGAAGAGAGTGAACCATAATGAAGAAGTAAGATGAGCGTAGCTTCCACTTCTGTAACGCAAGTATGAGTGTCGTACCTAGGGTTAGGTACCATGTGGGAGCATGGTATTGCTTTATATTGGGTTGACATAGGGGTGTTTATTGGTCCATAATTTGTCTCCATGACAAGTAGCCAGCTTTTCACCTCATCTTGTACCCTTAATCGATCGTGATTGTCTAAAAGATTGTTTGATCCTCTAATATGGGCAAAGGGTTTAGAACAAAGGATAACAACATATAATAACAACATTGTAACAGGTATCGGTTATATTTCAGTAGGTAGGTTAATTTGCATAAGTAGTTTGGAACCTTCAGCTCTAAGTTGTCCATAGTCAGTGAGGGGTCTGTTGGGTGTTTTAGATGGAATTACACTAGCTGTGGCATGTAGGAGGACAAAAGACTTTTTTCTCTCTCTCTTTTTTCAATACATATGCTGTAGCTATCAGAGATGTTCGGCACTGAGCTATGGGCATGGAAACTAGTGTATCTCTATAGGGAGATGAATGACCCAGCACTTATGGAGCCCACCAATGAGGTGTATATATATACGTTGCTCCCTCAGTTCCATCAGTTGTCTTTGCACACAAGAAGCTCACCTACTCCAGACATTGAAGACTTAGGGTGGGGGTAGGTTTGGTCGCTAGTAGAGGGTGGAAACACCTTTACCCAGTCAGGAGGGACATACGTTGTCAGCTTGGTGGTAGCATAGTACGGTGGATGTACGTCACTTTAGCATTAAGTGTCAGGTGTGGAATAGGGGTTGCCCCCTCTTGTCATGTGGAATCTGATAGGCATTATTATTAGTGCTGTAGTCACTGAGATGTGGTTATTGCTGTGCTATAACAGTGCATTTAACATATTAAAACTAAAATAAACTAAATAACAACATTAATGAGTTTAAGCTACTGTGGTTGAATAGCTAAGGTGTAAGGTGGAACTCACACCATGCTGACTCTTCCCGGCAGTACGTCCATGCAAGGTCTGCAGCTTTTGGGACAGAATGCTAGGCCGTAATTCTCAGGTGAGTGCCTTCTTACACTCTGGTTGGAGCTTAGAGGGATCTTCAGGATCTTCCTCCCTTCTTCCGGGGATGAGATGGTGTACAATGTTCCATTCCTGAGGATAAGCAAGTGAATAGGGTGACCCCAGTAGTAGGGCACATTCTGCAGACTGAAAACGTTGGTGACTTCTTTGTATTCCTGCCATTTCTGGAGGGTGAGTGCAGAAAGGTCAGTAAAGAGCAGTACAGAGCGGTATTGGTCGAGGAGGTCCTTGTGTTATCTGGAGGCCTTCATTATTGCTTTCTTTGCGTGGAAGTAATTCATGTGGGTAAGTACATCCATGGGTGCCTTCTCTAGCAGAAACTTTGGTTTTGCGACCCTGCATGCTCAGTCCATTGGTAAAAGTTTTTAGAGTACCCCATTAGAAATTCCATAAGGTTAGGTTGTGTCACTGCTTCTAGGATGCCTTGCAGCCTTGTATTTTGTCTTCTGGACCAGTCTTTGAGGTTCATTAATTTAGTGTGTTGTGCGCTTCTGCGTATTCACCCATGCAGTTTCCATGCACAGACTTCGGTCTCCCAAATCTTGCACGTCCTTCCTGAGGTCTGATATTGCCCTATTGAAGTTGAGTAATTTGTCGGACATTACTTCCAGGCAGTTTTGTAGTATGTCTTGTGTGACAGGCAAGCCTCTGGTCGTTGTGGGGCCTGGTAGTGGCAGGATGTCATCTTGCTCTTTGTTTTGAGAGTTAGGAAGTTTTGGCGGCTGATTAACCCACTTTTCTCACCTTTTTTAGGGTGCTTCTTCCCATTGTTCTAAGCTATCTTGGGGGATAACTTTAAATGGTTTTCGCTGGTCAATATCGCTGTTTTGGTCGCTGTATGGGCCGATATAGGATGGAGCTGCACTCACTTGCGACCGTCCGCACCATCAACCAGGCCATGCCCCAAGTTTTAATTTATGAAGCTCCAAAAATTGCCAAAGAAAAATCTATAATGCGACTTAAAGATAAAAAATATGCAAAAAATTCTAATCCGAAAAAATTATTTTACCATCACTCTTTAAAGGGCTCTAAGCAGATTAAGGTTTCAAAGTAGGAACAGCCTTTATAAAGTTCCCACACTTCTCCTGTCTGTCTCTGGCTAACTCACAATATAACAATTCTGTATCAAACATATACATTAAAAAATTATGTTTTGTTACCCGTAGTGGCACTAGTTCGTGTAGTTGATGCTGAAATTCAAAGCAACAAATATGTTAATGATTCATTTTAATATGCAACCGTAACAGGTAACAGTAGATTCTGATAATACAACAGACAGATTATAAAATGCCAAAGGCCAAAGTATTCCACTATGGGCAGACTGACAAATAGTACCTAAAGGGTAACTCCATTCCAAGGCCAATATATCTTACATTACTGTAAAAAAATAGTTGATGCTTTTCAAAACGTCATTTTAAAGTCTGCAAAAAAGGTCAAAGAAAAATCTAACATATACAAAGAGATTTTTTAAAAAAGTGCACAATTTGAAAAAAATGCCCAGTCCACCCCACTCCCCCCCAACCCCCAAAAAAAATATATATATCTAGCCACATAAAAACAAATCCCTACCAGTGAGAGCACCACACAGGCTGAAGTTTTAAACCAGGGGTTTGAAGAAGGAAGATTTGTGATGATTTAAAATATGGATCTCAAATTATACAATATGTCAATACAATTCTTTAAATCTGTATCAAACTTATACATCAAAAGAAAGGTTATTTTGTTACCTGTAGTGGCACCAGTTTGTGTCGTTGAAGCTGAAATTCAAAGAGACACATTTTCTCAATGATTCAATGTAATATGCAACAGTAATAGGTAATTGTAGAGAGTTCTAATACTAGAGACAAGTTATAAAATGCAGAAGGCTATCCGTTAAAGTATTCCATTATGGGCAGTCTGACAAATTGTGACAAAAGGGAAATTTGGTTACAAGGCAGTTACATGTAAAAATAGTTGATGCTTTTCATCAGATGTTTTTTCAAATCTTCATTTTACATTATCCAAAAAATGTCTAAGAAAAATCCAAAGTATCCAAATAGATTTAAAATCAAAAACTGCACAATTTTTAATCACTGAGGGCACCACACATACTGAAGTGTCAAACTGAGAAAGATCGATATAATGGACTTTTCACACATTGAATTTCAGTCAGAACAATCTGATTGGAAGCATCATCTCTCATGACAGTAGCACTTAAATGCATTAGCAAGCAAATCTTAGGAGCAATGAGAGTTTTCTCTCAAAGCGAATTGTTTTGTTTCCTGTCCAACCAA